TCGGATTCGTTCAGCAAACCTGATCATGATTTATCGGATGAGTGGTTGCAGTCTCAATCCAGCAGAGCATCCTCTCCAGAAGCTCCACAAAGAGTTGAAGGTAAGAACTTGCTAAATTGCCAAGAATATGCTAACTTGAGAGGAGGGAAAGGCGCGGAAACTTGCTCTGATCTGCAAAGTAACACAGCGCTCAAATCCTACTGTTTCTTTAGTAAATGCCAGTTATGCGTTTTATCATTGTTGTATTTATTATTTTTATGTTTAGTTATTTCATACTTGAACATCTTGTTGTAGTGTCATAGCTCTGACTAAATGAAATGTGTTCTTCATTCACAGATTCTGATAAAAGAGCCCTCCCCCATTGGGGTTGACAGGGCAAGGAGCAGAGGTAAAGATAATTCCTCCTCATACCATTGTACATATTTTTGTATATATTCTCCTGTGTGACGGAGTAACCCCGTCAGCTCGCGGGTGAGAGGAGGCCACGGCGTGAACACGCGCACACACACGCATGCACACACATACGTTCATACACGCTCATACAGACTTACCTGTTTCCTCCTGCATGTCTCTCTCATAGCGTCAGTCTAGGGTGCACACTTGGCTGGCGTTCAATCACTCTATAGTCCATAGTACTTCCAACCGGTCCAAAAGTATCTCAGTATTTTGTCACACGCACAGCACAGCAAAGTTGGCCAAACCGAACCCCGCGGTCTTCCTTGTTTTTATGCGCCGAGAGTAGGGCGCACAAATGTGACGTCACGCGTCGGGTCACGTGGCACACGGATTTTGGTGAGAAATTATTGTATTCTATGATTTATCATGTATTCTTTCTGTGTTGGTTTTTATTTTCATTTGTGATAATATATTATGAATTTAGGAATTATGTTGATAATCAAAATGTTTCTATTTGAAGAGAAATTGTTATTATTTGTATTAATTGGTTTGGGGGGAGGAGCTTCAGGGTATAAGGCAGGGCTGTCAGAGCCACAATGTGTGTGGAAGCTGGATGATGAGGATGCTGTGCACTGCTGGCACAACGCTCCAGAGCTGTACTCCCTGATGCCCTGGTGGGTAGTCTCTGTACATATTCTTTTGGTCACTACTGGGTTTGCCCTCACTTGCTGCAGCAAAAATAAACATCTGCACTAAAGAAATATAACCTGACCAGACCATATCATTTTGTTTGCATTTCTTTTGAGAACCCGCGACATCCTGGTATAGTGATTTACAAATTTATATTATTTACAGGTGGTGCATCAAGAGGCAGTTGCTGTGCACAAAAAAGGTAAAAGAACTATTTCTATTCTTGTACATCCCATGGCAATATAATATAATAATAATATAGTATACTTGTTTGGTCCAAAAGTAGTCAGTCAATAATGTGGGAGGAAGGCCTTCATTGTATTTTATGTATTGATTTATTGTAACAAATTCACTGTATAATATAGTTATTGTGTGTATCCATTTTCCAGCACGTTTGTCACCCAGAAGCTCTGGGGAAGATGGCTGACAGGAGGATCAGTGGGAGCCGAGTCAGTTGCCCTTCACAGGAGCTCCTGGACCTCAGAGACTGCAGACAGAGGCTGCGAACAGAGGCTGCGAACAGAGGCTGCGAACAGAGGCTGCGGACAGAGGCTGCGGACAGAGGCTGCGGACAGAGGCTGCGGACAGAGGCTGCGGACAGAGCCTGCGGACAGAGGCTGCGGACAGAGGCTGCGGACAGAGGCTGCGGACAGAGGCTGCGGACAGAGGCTGCGGACAGAGGCTGCGGACAGAGCCTGCGGACAGAGGCTGCGAAGCTGGATTCATCTGATCCAGACTTTCTGGAGCTGGATTCATCTGATCCATACTTTCTGGAGCTCTTCTTCACGGAGGGAGAACTACAAATGGTACACAGCGTGTCGTGTTCCGTTGCACACAGTGTTTCAACCTCTACAACTCAAAGCTGAACTACTGGGAGGACTGAAAAAGCAGATAAACTCACTCATACACACACTCACGAACACTCACACGAACACACACACGCACTCACTCACGCGCACACAGACACACACGCACTCACTCACGCACACAGACACTCACTCGCACACTGACATTCACACACACACACTCAAATTCACACGCGTCATTCTATTTTATACATCTATAGTTTTATTGATCTTTGTGTTGTTGTTGTTTGACGTTTTGGTTGATGGAATAGAAGAAAGTTAAATTTTCTATCTGTGAATAAATTGCCAACAATTTGCCATCAAAAGTATTATTTCAGAGTCATGTTTTTATAATTTTTGTAATGGAACAAGTGTGAAGATGTTTTGAGTTGTCACTAAAGCAGCAAATATGCATCTAAAAGTCATTTTTCTGCTTGATATGTTCCTGTTTACATACAGCTCGTTTTCTCTGTTTTCTTGCTCAGACCAGGTGTTGTGGGTGAAAGTATGCTTGTTCTATGGCGAATAGCTCAAGAACGGAAAGAGGTAGAAACAAACTGTTTTTTTCAGAGTAAAGCAGAGAGGTTAATCTTTAATTTGGTGCCCTTGGTGTTTACATTGTCTAAAAAATGAATATTCTGTGGCACTTCAAAGTTGGGTCAAATCACCTGAAATTGCTGGCAGAACGCACTTCTCAAATCTGAAAATGCCTGGCAGTCAGTGAGTTAACCCATCCATCCATCCATTTTCTACCCTTTAATCCATTTCTGGGTCAGGGGGGTGGCAATCAGAGATGCCACCCAAGTCTCATAGCTCCAGCCCCTCACTGACCCTCTGCAGGTGGTGAGTCCACAGGAGCTGAGATCTTCCAGTGGGGGCTTTGGGCAAAGTGGGGTTAAGTGTCTTGCCCAAGGACACAACGACAGCAGTCATCAGTGGGAGTCGGTGGAGAAGGTGCAGAGGTGGGAATTGAACCCACGACCTTCTGGCCTTAAGGCCAATGCTCTACCAACTGAGCTACTGTCGCCCCCAGTGAGTTAACCATCCAGGCCAAATTCCACATTCACAAATGAAAATTGTTAAATACTAGATATCCCTTTTCAACACAATTCAATACAAACTTCATTTAGAAAAACTATACACTTTCAGAAAAACCCAAAAGATAAAAAAAAAAAAAAAAATGCTCTTTGAATAATTTGCCTGTAAATTTCATATTCTGAGTTTTTTTTTTGTTTTTTTTTTCATGAAAGGGACTTTCTGTTTTTATCATTTTTGGTTATGTTTTGTGTATTTAATTTTTGTTGCTTTTTTTACTATAAAAATATGTCCCCTGGAATCTCACCCCCAAAGATATGTTATCCTTTGATAATGTTTTAATCAAGTTCTAAGTTTTAAAATGTTACAACTGTGCCAACATTTCTCCAATGTTCACAGAAAATATATCATGACTATTATGACAAACAAACTTAGAAGAATTGATTTAGTGCACTAGATCATTCAAGTCAGTCTGTATCTTAATCATGATTTATTCAGATAACAATATTATGATAAGAAAAACCAAATTATAATAGTTGTAAAAGCAAATAATGCTTTATCAATCAAAAGTTAGTACAATTTTGTCAAATACGGTATTAGAACAATTGAAACTACCCATTTCTACCACACAATAACCATACTTTTTTTATTTTTTTATTGTGAAATTCTTATCAGCTAGTCCAAAATTTCACAACATATTCCCGAATTGGACAAAAGTGAAACGTCTCATTTCAGCATTTTGCACCCTGCACTAGCAACACAGCAATACGGAAGTGCAGAGGAGTCCTAGTTTCTAAATGGTGCAGAAAAAAACAGACGCAAAGATTAAATTTCAAAGGAGAATATGTGAAGAATGGACCAGAGTGAGGCCTAAAGGTAAACAGCCCTGAGCAGAGATTGTGTCAGAAAGTTACTGTAGTGAGCAGGTAGTAACAGGGGCACACCGGTACAATTCTGATTCATTTTACAGCGTCAGGACGATAATAGTTAATCATTTGTGCTTGTGATGCAGCAGTAAGATAGTGGATAATAAATAGTTATATCATACATACATGTCACACCTAAATATAGTCAGGCATTATGTGGAGCTGAGTCAGTTTGAGAATAATACACATTTTGTTATACATTGAAAACTAAAGATGCAACCAGCAAGTAATCCAGAAGTCGAATGTGTGGAAGATATTGTGGACCTTCTCTCATCCTATACCTGTGAGTATGTTGGCAAGTCGAATCAACAATAACCTCATAAGCCAAAAAAATATGACCACTTTCTGGTATCAAAAAAGGATTTCATATTCAGTGATATTTTTTCCTTTTTATTGCCACTTTTTATTGTACATAATATATCCTGAACAGACTACATGTTTGCACACTTCTATCCATGCCAAATGTGACATGTAAATGACCTGTGTGAGATCAATAAAGTCCATCCTAAAAGCAGTCTAGTGTGGACAATGGACTTTTTTTTTTTTTTTTTTAAAGGAATCTTAGGCGCTCTGCATAGAAACAACTTGGATTTGGAATGACTGAAAACAAAAAACTATGTGATAGCATTACTCCAACTAGTTCCCTCACTATTTTCCTATGCATGTAGTTTGGCCTCTGTCACAAAAAGAGAAGCAGCCTCACTCTCAGCCAAAAGTGTCAAACAGTGACTTTCTCTGGCAAAAGACAGCATGATAAAAAAAAAATAAGCAAAACATCTCTAACTTTATAATAAATATAAGCAAGCATAAAAGCTCCTAACTTTAGTCTGGAAGTAAGTTTAACATATCTAATCTTATAGCATAACAAAGAAGCAAGTTAGCTGTCTGTAACTTTGGCATAATATAGAAACAAGTAAAATCTCTGACTTCAGTCTAATACAGAAACAAGTCTAAAATCTCTAACTTTAGCATAATAAAGAAGCAAGTAAAACATCTCTAACTTCAGTCTAATACAGAAACAAGTCTAAAATCTCTAACTTTAGCATAATAAAGAAGCAAGTAAAATATCTCTACCTGGATGTTATGTTTAGTTTATACATAAACTCACCTATTCTGAGGAAGACCACCACGCTGAACATGGACAGCAGGGTAGGGATGACCACCCCGAAGAAGGTGGACAGTTTCTTGGGTGATCCGTGCTCAGAGGACCGGTGCCTGGGACCTTTACGGGGCTGCTCCACGGCATGACCCGACTGCAGCGACTGGCGCTCGGATTCATTCACGCTGGCAGACAGGCGGTAGTGGAGGAGAGGCGTCCGCTCAGTCATGATGCAAAACTAAAATAAATTAACTAAAACTCCAGAAAACAATGTTATACTGACTATGCTACATCAATGAGCGCCGCTAGAACTACCTGCTGCAGAATCAAAACAGGAAATCTTCAGAGTGGCAGCATCTTCTACGGATCTGCCAAGAAGCGAGGACTATAAACCAATCATATCGCATGGTTAAGACCTTACATGTTGTCCAGAAAGCGGTCTCCTGGTCTTGAATGTGGACCACTTTGCCAAGCGCTGGCAGTATATAACAGAAATGCCCTCATTGATTATCATGTGATGTTCTCGTCATGCTACGGCGCAACCAACATCTGCTTCCGGCGTGACGTTTCAAAATAAAATCATAACACCGAGGAATCGACGGGATGCGTTTTACTTTTAATGTTTCTGTTTCCGTTTCTTTGCGTGTTTTTGTCAAAGCTCGACTAACATTTGTAGAGAATTTTCAGCCTGTTGCGTTGGGTCATGTGGTCAGCACGGCTTAACCAATCAAGGCTAGTTTTCTCCCAAAAATCGCACTTGGAAAAAGATGTATAAAGTTGTAATAAGGGTAAGTATCGTGGGTTATTTGAGTTGAGCAGCGTATTTTCAAGTTTTTATCAATTCACTTCACAAAATTTGCTGTTTTTGTATCTGTTACATATGTAGTAGTAGTATATGTTGTAATAAATAAATTAAAATCTGGGGTAACCTACCAAACTATATTTATAATTGAACTGAAATCAACCCAACTAGTTGCTTGTTGTCAATAAAGGTGATATTTATATTGGTTCAATACACTTTCTATTGTCTATCACTTTGGCCTCTGTCACTTTTATAGATCAGGTTTTTCAGAACAATGGGGGGAAAGAGACGACCACTCTTACAGACGAAAGTGTCAAATAGTTCCATCTAAGTATACAAAATGTGTTTTGTGTTTACCATGTATTACTTACAAAATTAGCAATTGTAACCCGCTTTGAGACTCAGCTCTGCAGTGAAAAGGCGGTATATAAATAAAGATTACTTACTTACTACTTGCATTTCTAACAATTTTTCTATACATATTTAGTGATGATTTGAAGAGATGATGCAGTAACAATAATGATTTTACTGCACTGAAAAGGAACATTTAAGATCTGATACAAACGTGTGACGACTAACCCACTCTCTCTCAACTTATGATGTCTTTCCTTTTTCAGATTGTGCAATGGTATTTGGTGTGTTGTATATGATTTTAATACTATGTCCTAATGTTGTTTTCTTCACAAGACCACGTTGACACCCTTTGACCTCTGTTGACTTCATCCTTAATGCGTGAGATTGAAGTTGATTTCCATACTTTGTTAATGTGTGTTATCTGATCCACCACAGATAATGAGATACGTTAAGTAAATAGTTTATAAACTCATGCAGCACATGATACAATTAGTTGCTTTTTTTCATGGAATCACTCACTGTGAAGTTCTGCCTAAATGATCACATCTTCATTGTTCTGTTGCTCTGCATTATTGATTTCACTTCCTCTTTTTTGGACACATTTCTCCTGCCAGCTCAGATTACTACAAAACATGGTTAAAAAGAATTCCACTTATATATGCCCATTATTCTTCTAGTTTATCATTAATAGTTGTGATTTCGCAAAATTTTAAAGGGCGCACACCAGTTTATTTAAATCATTTAAAAATATAAATATAAAGTTTTATGATTATATTTCTCAAATGTCTTAAATGAAACAATTTTTTTTCTGTGGCTGATTCTATTGTTGCAGCCAGAGGGAGCCATTGTACCAAGGCCGGTAGCTATGAATGAATATGTATTTATTTTAGTTCATATTTTTGTTTATTTTTAAAGCATAACATAGATCATAGAACTATAATACATCCATATCCATAGGTTTAAAACTTGCATTCCTAAGAATACACTAAAACCCATTTAAACCTTAAATGTATGCTTTCCTTTGGTTAGCAAAATTATTGAAAATCAGATATTAATCAATACTAAAACCAGAATCCATTATTAAGGTTAGCTGGTTAAACTTTATTGTCCCCCTAGACATTGTCACATGTCGATGCTCCGCTTGGTCAGGACCAGAGCTGGACTTTATAGGACTTTTCTCATTTTTTTGTGGTAGGGGCAACCGGAGCACCTGGAGGAAACCAGAGCAGACACGGGGAGAACATGCAAACTCCATCCAACCACTCCGCCACCATGCCACCCCATATACTCAATTTAGAAGGAAAGAAAATCACATTAACAGGATTCTTTGAGCATTTTATGATAATTTTGATCCATAACAGAACTAGTAACAAAACATTGTAATGCCATAAACAGCTGTATAATGTATAAATATGTATTGGTAAAGAATGAAGCTTGTTTGCATTTGATCAAAATTGGTGTTTGACATTTAGTATTGTGCCAACACCGCCACAAACGCCACATCCACTAACACTAGTGTTTTGATCATTTTTACAAAGTGGTAATCATCAAAAGGCTAGTTTTATACGTGTCTATGTATATTTATGCCAAAACGAGAACAACCCAGGACAACATGATGCAAACAGCTAACATAAATAACCTCAATGATATCCCTTATCACCTCCCAGAAAAGTGCAAATATCCTCCAGTGTGGTCAGCTGCGTGTTTGTAGACCGAACCACAGCGATACCACAGTTTTTGTTTACAAGTACTTAACTTCATTCTTTTATACAAGCAATAAAGATGAGAACCACAGATAGCAGCGTCCAAAGGTGTCACATGCGTACGACTATAGTTCCATGTTGTGCGCAGGAGTATATACATTGCTCAACTCTCCCCTGTCTCTCATGACTCAGCTTTTGAAATCTGTTTGTGTTTCTCAGACCCGGACACACGTCGTTAAAAGAGTACCTTGTCCTGGGGCGGCCTCTGGAGCAAACCTGAAGACCTTCCCGGAACAGTTTTGAGCAGGTGTTTTGAGATCCAGGACTCTTGATACCTCAATGAGAGAGTGTGAGGTTGATACCAGCAGTTTTTTGTTTTTTTTATGCGTCTTTTTTGACAGTCGCTCACTCTCACGTACACAGAACTGTTTGGCAATATCACAGCCCTCTGAGTTTTCGAAGTAAATGGAGCTCTGTTGTATCCGTGATCGAAAGAAATGCTTTGATAACAATTCAAGAAAATCGTTTCCAGCAGCAGTAGGTTGATTTACGTTGAGCTGTTGTCAGATTTTTAGATTCCCCAGAGTGGCTCAGCATTTCTTTACCGTTTCACCGAGATTCTGTCTCTCTTTCCTATAGTGCATGTTCATTAGGGCTGCACGATCTAATTTAAAGAAACTTTAGTGGCCACAATCAGCAAATCTCAAAGCCTGTGATCAGTTACCTTTACAAACAGAAAATTGCACAATATTACACAAATCTGGAAATCCCTGCGTCTAGAGCTCTAAAACAAGCTTAGAATTACAAGGATCACTGCATATTTCAAAAACAGAGGCTAATGAGAGCTTGAATAAGGTGGCTTTTCTCTTCATGTGAGTCCATTTTGGCTGGACTGGACTTTGAATAAATAAATACAACATCAAACATGTTTCAGGTTTCCCCTCAAATTTGAACTTCCTTTCGCAAATGGCAAATGGAATCGTAAACGCAATAGTTATCTAAAAATGGCCATTGGATATTTCACCAAGACTCCCAGAATTCTGAAACTGCTATAACTCCCTGTTCCGTAATTTTGACTGCTCCTATTCAAACCAGTATAATTCTGACAAATTCCCTCCGATAATCTTAGTTTATCCCATTTTTTCACTTTTTATAAGCGCTAATGCTGGTGACAATAACTTGAAATACAGCTGAAACAGTTTGTTGAAATGCTAATGCTAAAGACCAAATGCCAACCGTCGCAAGTAAAAAAAGAAATGTTGCTATGGTAACTAGCATATGCTCTTCTCTGGTGTAAAACCAAACTGACTTAACTCAGAACCAGGACCTTGAAAAGTTCAAAATGACTGGGAGTTAAAGGTAGACCAAATATGTACATAAGTTGAGTAATTATGCTTCCAAAACTAAAAGTCGTCAAATTCTAGTGTTCTAGTGTTAAGATCGTGCAGCCCTTGTATCCGTGATGGAAACCAGCTCCCAGTGAGTGTTGTAAATATCCTTATTCCACTGCTCTGTGCCTCCAGGCTGCTCCCAAAAGTCTTTATGCACATCGTCCAATCAGCTTCACGTGGAATATTATCTGTTGCTGATCGAGTCTGTCGTTTCTTCGTTGCAGATGTTTTCTCCGTAAGATTTCACAAACAGCTCCAGTTTTCCCAACAGAAGTTTCTGGTAACGTCTGAGTGCTTCTGTGAGTCCCGAACACGTCTGCGGAGGAGAAGAAGCCTCTGCTGTGGCGTTCTGTGAGGTCACCAAACACAAGGTCAGTTTTAAAGAGGGTTCTTGCATTATCCTGATCACCACAATTGTACTGGAATGAGGCTACTCCATGAAAACCAATGGAGCTATAAAATGATCCACCCGTTTAGGAATCCAAAGGTAGAATTTTCCATTCAAAATTGTCAAAGGAATTTCCCAAAACACAAATATCAAGAGTTTGAAGACATGACAGAGGCGAACTAGCTATCTGCTAACTACTATTCACAGCACAACGGTTTAGGACATAAAAAACACAACACTAAAACGTCACATTTTGCTTAACTTTGTGCATTTGAAAACCATAATAAACCGTATAAAGTACTGTAGATCTTGTGGTTATTTCTCCTCAAATCATTTATCAGTCCAGCCCAAGTTCTTAATATTTTTTTTATTTTTTACAATTTTACTTTGCCCGCTTTGCAACTGCATTTCTTTTAGAGATGTCACAATATCTAGTTTTTTATGTTAAGATTTTACTTCATAATTAATCCGTTTCATTATACTGAGTTGACTCACAAAAACCGACACTCACGGCTTGACTCACTTGTATCTGACGCAGCAGGATGGCTCGGTTGTTCCTCATGTGGAGCTGAATGTCCTCAAACAGAGACCGGCAGCTTAATGATGTCACATTCTTTATATCCTCCAGTCCCTCGTGTAGCAGCTGCAGGTCGCTCACTGTCTCTGAAAACCTTTCTAACACCTGAAAAACACAGACACATCCCTCCTGTGAGCACATGTTGTCAGTGCTGCATGAAGATTCAAGAGGAAATAGTTTATTGTCATTGTCACAAAAACAACAAAACGACACAGAGACAGCATGTAAGTGAGTATGTTCCAGTAGCTGCAAAGATGACCAGTTCACAGCTATAGCAGGTGTCTAAAAGTGGAGGAGAAGGGGCGGGGCTTGAATTTTTTTATTTATTTTCCAGATTCAATCATTTATTGTCATAGTCACAAAAACTCCCATTTGAGTGTCAGTAGTATACATTACTCACAGTCAGATTGTTCCATCTCTGGTGGTTGATCCCCACAAAAGGACATGGGACTGGTGCGGCCTGAACATCTACTGAACTCTGGCAATCTATCTGTGCACAGAGACAATGCAGTTTGGAGGTTTGTGACCAATAAAGAACAACATTGTAGTATTTACATTCAATAACTGTTTCCACTTTTGCATGAGAAAAAGCTCTTAAAAATACATAGTGTTTGTGAGGATCCAGGAGAAAGAATACATTCTGAACAGACACAAGTATCCTCACCATCTTGTCGATCGCAGCCTCCGCGCTCTGCCTCCTGTTTGCTCTGACCTCGGGTTTACACCAGAAGTCCTCAGGTCTGCTCTCTGCTGCCGGTAAAGGACAGGACAGTACTCCCATCACCAGCAGCACAAAACCTACACATACAACAGGCTTGAACAGATGAACGCAAACAATCATCTCTGTCATGATGTCACAATGGCTTCTCGTCATTGAGATATATTCTTTAAATAATATTACTTTAACTTAATTATAAGAACACTCTAATACGGTGAGCAGAAGCTCCTCTCCTCAGATCTAATCCATAACTTTAGAGAACAAAGAGAAAATTATCCAAGGCAATTACATTTATTTATCCTTTCTTCCTTTGGGAACATGGCGCCATGTTTCCAAAGGAATAAGTGAGTCTGGTCCTTTCTTCTTTGTTCTCCACATTATTTTCCCACAGATCCTCAATGCACCTGAAAATAGTGCACCTGAAAATAATGCACCTGAAAATAGTGCACCTGATCTCTCATGTTTTCCTACATCTGTTTTGTCCCTGTATGCATTCGCTGCTTTTGTAATATTATTGATTCATAACTTTCTTTAGTGAAATAACTTTCATGTTTAATGCAGGGATCTTTTGGTTCTATGGATTATTGAACATTTCAGACAAAGTTCCACTTTCATACTGTCCCACTGCACATGAGCACATGAGGCGCCCGAAGAGCCCAATGTCACTGAAATCATCCACAGTGTTTGTGTGTTTCACACAAACAGCATGTGTAAATGACACCACTGTGAAAAGTACCACACCATGTGTATTACTGGTACACCTTAATGAAGGAGTTTGGAAACCAGTGCAACTAATGTAGCTATGTTTCATTTAGTTTGGAATCATATCATTGTCACAAGAATAATAATCAGATGTCTCTTAAATAAGAAGTAAATTAATGAGCAGAAGGTAGACTTACTGCTATACGCCATAACCTGGTCACATGGTGTCTCCCAGATGTACGGTCCTCCTGCCTCATTACAGCAGACCCAGGATCAGCACGCAGCAGGAAACGTCCCAGTGGTTTGTCTAACAGCTTCCATTGTCTTCCACAGGAGCCATTGAACTGAAAGGAAGTATGCCTGACCAAATTTCTGAGCGAGTAGGCGTGATATTTATTTGGGGCCAAAGTTAATATTTGACCGTGATCCTAAACTCAAACAGGGCATTTGAGAGAAAGCATGTAGGCAAGAGCAGAGCCCACATGAACCTTTGCCAGAGGATTCATGAGCGTACCAACGCACCGTTCATATTTCTGTTTCAGTTTACGCTGCATAAAATGAGAGAACATAAGGTAATAAATGCTAGAATAAAGTGTTAAGTTAAGTTAATTTTAGTATATTTGTACATTCTAAAAACAAGATTTGCCAATGGAACAAGCTGTTTAGTGTTATTTCAAGTACTGTTGCAATTTATTTCTAAACATTTCTTGAATTTTCATGTATATTTTTGAAACAAGAATATTTTTCTTGTCCCAAAAGTGCTCCAATCAAGATGAAGACCTTTGATGCTTTTATTTCCTTATATTTTATGATTTTGGATTTGGATTCAATCATCGTGGAAAGTATTTAGTGGTGAACAGAGAAAAGTACCATTGCTATCCCTGCCATTAATGCATGATTCTATTCAAACACTGCAAAAAGTGATGGAAAAAAGGGACAAAAAATGATCTAATTTGGCAAAATGTATCTTAATTTGATCACATTTGACATGATTTGTTAATGGGACAAGAAAACGATCCAAGACAAGGTGGAATATTTTGCTGTCAACAGAGGATACGGTGCCAATAATGGTCCATAGGGAGTTTTTGGCATTAAGACACATGAACTATATGAAAGCGTGAGCCTGTAAAATGTGACGGTGTAGATATTGGCGGAATGGACTGAACTGGAATGTAAATAAACTGTAATCTGGACCAAACTGCCTCCTTTTATGTCCAGCTGATGTCACACACATGAGTGAGAGAGAGATGAGCTGGAAAAGCAAAATACAAACAGCACAAAGGCCGTATTACCAAGAATGGAGATAGCAGTGCGTCCGGTTAAATAAATGGGTAATTTATGCTAATGGCGAAAAGCATGAATAAAATAGATTACGATTAGGAGATTCTTTATTTGTCCCACAGTGGGGAAATTTCAGTGTTGCATCACAAGTTACACTGTTATGACTGTAGGAATGAGGGGCACACAGCACAAGATAAATGAATAATGAGTCTATACTAAAATAAATTATAATCTCTCACCTCTAGCATAAAAAGACGCATGTATCTTTAGTATCATAAGGAAAGAAATCTAAATTCTCCAACTTTGCATGATGAAGAAGCAAAAAACCCTGACTTTAGCATCATAAGGAGCAAGTATAAAAAGCTGTATATGTCACGTGGTTGAATGAAGAAAAAGGGAACCCAAAATGCAGGACTGAAAATCAAATGTAATTCAATAAAAATCGAAATCCAGAGAGACAAACTGATCCAGAACTGAAAAACTAGACAAGACAAACTTGGTAGAGACAATGGACGGACAACAAGTGGAGAAAAGCACAGGGTATATATGCACACACAGGAGACACAGGTGGATCACATTAGGGCGGGGCTAACAATCAACAGGACACACAGGAATCAGGAAAACTCAAAATACAAGAGAACTAATAAAGTAAACAAAACCAGGTTAAAATAATCCAAAAAGTCCACACCATGACAGTATATATATTGCAACTAATATATAGTTAACAAATCCACAAATCACGTAGAGGCGGTAATGTAAAGAAAGATCAATGTTTTCAGCTTATGGCCATTGTTAGAAACTTGTCTTGAACCATGTATGCCCAGATTGTACTTGCACTGGCAATAATACTATGATAAGGGATGTATATTTGATGCTAACTGCTTTGTGTAGATCTCCATGTTTTTTTGTGGTTTTATTAGTGAGTTGGTGTCTTGAGACGGGTGTGAGAGTGAACGGTCTTTGTCACAGCCTGAGGACGTGGTGGTCATTGTTGTCCATATGCTTCTAGTTGCTCGGATACACTCCTTCAGGCACAATGGCTTATGGGAATCAGCAGGACGAGATGAATTACGCAATAAAGACATACTATATACCTATACTTACATACAGTACATAGTTGGGATTGAAATCTTAGCAGGCAGAGATTTCATGATTTGGCCTCTAACACAAACACGTTTTGTCCTCCATTCATCATTTACGAAATTATATCATACTATAGCCGTCTTGGGGAGATCTGAAATGTGGCCAGGCAAGTTTATTTGTTATAGATTTGAAAGGGGAAATATACATTTATATTAAAGGGGAGATAATCTTGAGAACTGGAGGACTGGAGACTAATTTTCTGACTGAGAAGATGTTTTTATGTGACAATTGTTGTATTAAATATAGACTAAAAAGCAGATGTGAATTTTACTGACCCTGATTTGAACTGTCTCTTTCCTAAGCAAAAATACCTGGTCTCCGCTTCTTCCTTAGTAGTCCAAAAGTGCAGAATATGAGTTAATGATAGTCAATCTGGGGGGGGGCCAAGATCTGCATTCCTAGATTTTGCTAATCTTTTCAGTTGTTTGGAGAAGGAGATGGACCCAGAATCTGGGGGGACAGCCTTGTAGAGTCTCCTGACTTATCTCAGGGAAGTAATATTTCTATAGAATTAGGGAGGGGTAGTGTGTGAATGATTTCTGTTTTAGGTTTGGCGAGACGAAGGAAAAGGCCGGACCCTGGACCGGAAGCTGCCTGATACGACACGCCCCCTTCTTCCTGGACATCTGCTCTTTTTATGCTTGGGCTGGAGGCTTGGAGTCAGTGAGCGCAGGGCCAGAGAGGGACAGCATAGCCTAGTTTTAGGAGCTCTCTTTTGTTTGAATGTTTGAATCTGATTGTCAAGATAAATTAAATACAGATGTTAAACTTGGAGAATCTTTGTCTGATTTCTGTACCAAATTTTGAACACGTCAGTCAAATCTTTTTTTGACCCACACAATACACAACCTCTAACAATGAAAAAAGTTTGCATTATCATTCATTCAATTAATATGGCAAAATTATCTACATTTCTGCCAAGATAAACTCTCAAACTGTAAGTAATATGTGTTTTTGGGTGGTTATGTAATTGTTGTAGTAGAAAAGGTTGCAGTAGCAGCTGTCCCGAACTCATTAAAACCATAAGATGTATTTTAGGCAAGAGCTGAACAGACGGAAGCCTTTTAACCGAATTTTGGCTCGTCCCAGGTCCAATGAGCCACTAGGACATTCCCTCTTTCTGATAAGTATGAATGGAGAAAAAAGCAACAATGTGATAACTGAAACTAAACCCGGGATGAAATTAACAGTTGGAGACAAGAGAAAAAATACATGTAAGTGCAAATAAAAAGAGGCAAAGCAACCCACGGCTTTAGTTTGAGTGGTCTCTCCCTCTGGTCTCTTTCTGGTCCCTCTCTCTGGTCTCTCTCTCTCTCTCTAGTGTCTCTGTCAGGTCTCTCTCTCTGGTCTCTCTCACTCTCTGGTGTCTCTGTCAGGTCTCTCTCTCTCTCTGGTCTCTCTCACTCTCTGGTGTCTCTGTCAGGTCTCTCTCTCTCTCTCTGGTCTCTCTCACTCTCTGGTGTCTCTGTCAGGTCTCTCTCTCTCTCTCTGGTCTCTCTCACTCCCTGGTGTCTCTGTCAGGTCTCTCTCTCTGGTGTCTCTGTCAGGTCTCTCTCTCTGGTGTCTCTGTCAGGTCTCTCTCTCTCTGGTCTCTCTCACTCTCTAGTGTCTCTGTCAGGTCTCTCTCTCTCTGGTCTCTCTCTCTCTCTCTGGTGTCTCTGTCAGTTCTCTCTCTTTGGTGTGTATCTCTCTCTGGTGTCTGTCAGATCTCTCTCTCTCTGGTCTCTTTCTGGTCTCTCTCACTCTCTGGTGTCTCTGTCAGGTCTCTCTCTCTGGTGTCTCTGTCAGGTCTCTCTCTCTCTGGTCTCTCTCACTCTCTGGTGTCTCTGTCAGGTCTCTCTCTCTCTGGTCTCTCTCACTCTCTGGTGTCTCTGTCAGGTCTCTCTCTCTCTGGTCTCTCTCACTCTCTAGTGTCTCTGTCAGGTCTCTCTCTCTCTGGTCTCTCTCTCTCTCTGGTGTCTCTGTCAGTTCTCTCTCTTTGGTGTGTATCTCTCTCTGGTGTCTGTCAGATCTCTCTCTCTCTGGTCTCTTTCTGGTCTCTTCCACTCTCTGGTCTCTTTCTGGTCTCTCTCACTCTCTGGTGTCTCTGTCAGGTCTCTCTCTGGTCTCTCTCTCTCTCTCTCTTTCTCTCTTTCTCTCTGGTTACAATAGGCGACAGTAAAAAATAAATATTATTAAAGTGCCATTTTAGTTACTCATTAATTCACCAACTAAGACTCTTATGATCCCATCTCACCTACGACTATTATAAACATATCTTATTTTCTTATTTTTTTCAGTCTATTTTTATATTTAAGTCTCTTCTTTAGTCTATACTCCATCATTAAGCCGCTCTCCGAATGCTCTCTGCGATTACACGTTCATTAATATGATAATAAACTAATGCGCGGACACAAGGCCCCTCCTGCTCACTCCACCGCGCCGTGCGTCCTTCCTGGTCGAGTCGTCACCATGGAAACGCCAAACCATAAGTGGCTCGCTCAATCTGCGCTCCTCTGTCTCTCTGTCTACCCTCTTGTGTCTTTTATCTCTGGAGCAGCAGCAGCAGCTGGGCCATCCACATGGGACAACAAAAGGATTTTCTATTTCTGCTTTTTCACATTGGAGACATGACGCACAGTGGATTATTTGGCTTTTTTTTTGGATCGTTCTACAGTCATTTGGGGATATTTTGACATTTTTGTATCATTTTGGAAAACTCAATAATGTACTGACGTGTGGTTGAAGCTTTGTTTTGAATGTGAGTGGAGTTTTGTATTCCCTTCTCGTGTTGCTGTGAGATTGATCCTGGAATGTGAATCAACATGAGCAAGAAGCAGTTTGCAAGTGAATTGTATTGTTCTTAAAATCAACAGAAGGATTATTATTATTAGTTCGGAAAATTAAGCACACAGAGACGGGATCAAGGCGCACCAGAGCTCGGGAGTTTATTCTCTATTTCTTCAGGTTATTTCAGAATTTTTCAGACAGGACAGAATCGGGATATGGTCTAAGCATTCGTGTCACATCAAGAGAACAATCAGAACATAACAAGACATCGAAAGAACAAAACACGGACACACAATCATAGCAGATACACAATCGGGTCGTTGACCTAAGGCCAGATCACTTTGTGGCTATCTAATTCCCATGTTAGTCTGTACCATGTCTCACTATACTACCTAAGTTGAAGCCATTTTAGTCTGCACTTTATTATTTATTGGATGAGCTAATTAAAGCAGCGAGTGGTATAGAAAGTATATCCAAGGCTTTGGTGTTTAACATGGGAAGTAATGTCCCGACTGCACCGCTATCTCTACACAATGAAAGTAAAGGCCCATTGAGATTATTGTGTCCGGAAAGTAACTTGCAAAAGCTTGTAAAATAGACACATGTAAGTAAGTCATTTTTTATAATGTAGCGCTTTTCACAGAACATGGGTCACACAAAACACAACAAGATGGACTATGTTTACTGTCAGGAGAGGATGAGGTGCCAAAGATGGTCTACAGGGAGGTTTCGGCATAAAAATAGTTAGATATAAGAGAAAATAAGTGCCATACGATACACTGTATGTATGTGAACTTTGAACTTGCACTTTTTAGCTTCAGTGGAAAACATATTTTGTGATTCCTCCTCTGTAGTGCTTGACCCCTACACACTCCTTATGTTTTGGCCATGTCCACAGTCCGGCAACAGACTGCTCATGTTTATTGTGAACATTTTGATACAACAGACGAGGACAGTCTTTTGCAGCCGGTCTCTGCTTGTCCTTCTTGTTGTTTGCCGTTCAGTTTGGCTCTGATCCTGCCGTGCTCCCATCCCATGTGTGGACCGTGTGTGGTGGCAGCAGGAGGAAAGGGGAAGGGATCACAAACCAGTCTTAAAACTCCAGGACTAAAGTCTTGCTCAGTCCCGTGTCCTTGCTGCAGAAGAGCTGTCGAGCTTCCGTGTTGGTCGTGGACTTCAGCCGTCTCCTGTCTCCCAGAATATCCCAAACTGAGCCGAGAATGCACCTCTGCGGGGAGAGGGGCAGCGTCTGGTCAGAGTGGACAGGTAGAAACGGTGCATGTACAGTAGATATGTGTGTGTGATCATTTAAAGAAGGGAACTATAATAATAATACAAACATAAAATAGTGCCATTTCATTTTGTTTAATTAATGCTACTGACTTTTATTCAAACAGGATTGAAATATGTAATATTTACAGTGGTATGCCAAAGTTTGGGCACCCCTATCAATTTTTATCTATGATTTTTTATTTTTTTTAATACATTTTTGTTTTTTTTGATAAGACATTTTTGATGAATATATCATCCATTAGACATACACGGATTTATAGAAAGTGGGCAAGAATTGTACTACTGTTTACCTAATGCGAGGGCTCATGGAATTTCCAGACTCTCTTTTTCATGGGTTCCTTTTTAATAATAATTTTAATAATGTCTTTTGCAACGTAACGCTTTCTTTATTACATATTCAGAAGGAATTTGGGGGACAATTTGCGACAGATTTGACTAAGTTCAAGTTTTGATGTGAGCTGTTTTCTTTACAACCAACGTGTGTGCTATGTGTGTCCATAGAAGGAAGTCTTTAACAAACCAACAGGTGTTATCACCCAGGGTACGTTTGATTTCATCTTAACACAAATTGATTCACGAATAAGTATTTTCATTGATAATCTTTTTCTCACTTTCTCTCAACCACTTCTTCCATCTCTCCAGCAGATGGTGATGTAGACCTTCTGGATGAGGAGATGCGACAGTCTGTGTACGGTCAGTATTGCTGTATAATATTATCATACACTTACAAACTAGCTTCTCTAATTTCTGAAATTTTAGGTCTGCATTTTGCTTTGGACTCCTCCCATGTCCCTTCACAAATACACATTTCCAGCTCATCCATGACTGCCGCATACCGACCCCAGAGCCAACCTGGATCTGCAGCATCTCCTGTCTCTGTGCTGCCCATGCTGAGAGGAGATGTGGTTATTCGACGGGGGCAATATTACTGGGAGGTGGATGTCTGCAACAGCGCCCTCTACAGAATAGGTGAGAGAAGTGTCCTTTCTTTGTGTTTTCATTACATTGTTTAAAACTGGGGGAACCTAACCTTTGTCCATACCAGTAATTCTTAAAAGTAAAATGACCATAACATACAGTATTAGAAGATCCTGTGGAACAGCCTTGTGAGTAACTCTAGACTCTGATTGGTTGAGTCCAGGTGGTCTTCTTTTCCACTTTTCTGTTTGAAAATCAGAGTGATCTAAAGATGTGACAGAATCCAAAAAATAGATGCTTGTAATTAAACTGTTTTTAGAGCGTGGAACTCGTTTAATGGATTGTATTGCATTGTTCCATATTTTGTGGTTTAACGCCAGAACCAGAATATAGGAAGCAGCAATTTAATCATGAATTTGCAAAAGTATATAAACAATGTTATCAGACTGACAACTGAGTTTATACAATTGTCTCTGATTTGTGTTTGTTCAACTGAATATTAGTGATTAGTGAGTTACAGCGATTGAGATTACCATACAAACCTCACATAAAGCACTTTACAGCCGACCAAAGAGCTGTAACAAAGAAGACAACAGATAATTATGAACAATCAAATAAAATACAAATGTACATACACATACATATACACACTTACTTATACTGCTTTTCCATAATGGCATGGTCCAGTTGTACAGTTGCAATACTAGTTCCCACCGGTAGAGAGAGCCACATTATTCAGTATGTTTGGCCCACCCTCTCCAGCCAAATTGACCATCAAAAAGGACTTATTTTTATTCAACCAGTTTAAAACATTGAGCATCAAAGCTAAACTAAACTGCATTTTCAAACCACAAAAAACAAAACTCAAAATATTTCAACAATAATGTGGTTTCAGGTATTGCCAGGTGTTTCTTGAAATTAAACCGTAACCAGTTTGAGAATACAGATTCAAACTTGTAAATGTTTTCATTTATATAACTGCCAAATTAATAGAACTCGACTAAGCGGCATCTTTCATTACAAATATGAAACTTTGAAAATACTTAATATAAAATACAAAATAAAATACAATAAAATAAAAATAAAAATAAAACAGGTGCAATGGAAGGCAGTATCTTTTCTGTTTTGGTTTTCTGAAGTTCAAAGCAAAATTATCCAGTGGCTCAATGGCAGATGCTGAGGAGCACCAAAAGGTTATGTTACCTAAGCTTTGACTTTCAGGTAACCAAAACATCAAGTGGAAAATGTCTGACTTCACCTTTAACCATTATTGTATCAAAAACAGCATACAAGTACTAAACTAGTTTTTTTTGTTTTCTTTTCTTATAATTTTTTGGTAGGGACAATGCACATTAATAAACATCAGTATAAAACAATAAAACAAACGTAAATATGCCGGATTATAGCTACCAAGCTAGTTTTCATCCGTAGTCCCAAAGCATGAAAATACATAAGAAATGACAACATACAATACAATAAAATACAAAATAACACAATACACTAAAGACAGCACAGGGTTAAAGGACAACTCACCCTCAAATCCACTTTTTTTTGCTGATAAACGATTTAAATGAGTGTCCAATAGTGTTGTGTACATATCCTGGTCATAATTTTGTCACTTTGGTGCAAATTAGTTGAAAGTTAAACTTTCTGCCTAAAACCGTCTGTGAGGCGCCATCTGCTGGCGACCTGTATTACTACATTTGAATTTTGAATCTGGCGCCAACACTGGCGCGGCAGCAAGACCTGACGTCTGAAGCAAGACCTGACGTCTGAAGCAAGACCTGACGTCAGCAGCCCCCCGCCCAGAGCTATGTAAACGGCCCAGTCTCGTTCACGCCCCCTTTAGTCCTCCAGGCTACGCCCATTTAGAGGAAGATTTGAACAGGAAATGTGTGTGACGTAAGCTCCGAGGAGCGGGGGTGAGAACCACTTTAAGAGTTAAGAGTCTAGTGGTCACATGACTGGTTTCTTTTCATCTATCTCTGTTCCCAACCAAAAACTATGATTCAAAAATCCATTATCGGTCCTTCAGGTGTGGTCTCTCGGGACAACAGTCGTTCCTGGTGGTTTGAACGGCGAGGTTTTTGGTTTTCGGCCGTGTACGACGACACATCGGAGCCCGTCTGCAGCGCCCCCCCCGGGATCAAGACCATCGGACTCTTCCTCAACGTGAGCGGAGGCGCGTTGAGCTTCTACAACGCACTTTCCCAGGAACACCTCGTGACTTTACCCACGCGTTTCCACCCGGGGAGGGGAGTGGTGCCCGCCTTCGCTCTGGGACAGGGCAGGCTGAAGATTCGCACTGGTTTGACTCCGCCTCCTCTAGTGTTTTGCTGTAAGGACTCGGGATACAGGGGGGCACAGGGCGCGGATAGGAACGTGTGGAGGAGAGAGGTGGCGTTTAGGTCGGTGAGGAAGGTGGTGGAGAAGTTTGAACAGCTGGCTTCGTCACACTGACCGTATCGACCGCTGAGCTAAGATAAGATGAGATTTTAGAAAGTCATGGGTCAATGTCATCGTTCCGCATATTACAGCAGAATAAAAGGAGGAAATAAGGTTGCACACATCAAACTGGATCTATTGTTTAAGATAATAGTAGGTAAAGTGAGTGGTGGATTATCAGAACAGGTGAGTGGCACGTGTACAGACTCGGCAGTTCTCATTGTACAGTCTGACAGCAGCAGGAAGGAAAGACCTGCGGAACCTCTTCTTCACATCACACATCTCTTCATATATTCTGTTTACGTTTTTGAGATATGGGAATAGGAAAGACAGGGTAGGGGCTTACATGGCTGATTGCACTCAAAATGTTGGTGTTCTTTTGATTGTCTTTTGTTATGTTCTTTACAATATTATACACAGCTTTTTTAAAACAGTATTTATGCAGAGACACAAAACCAGAGATATTAAACTAGTCCAAACAAGATATGACTGACGTTCACTGTGATTTTAAAGGAATATAGGAGGATTTTTCGAAATTTTAGACGGAACCGCCGACTCACACACCAGAATGATTGACAATTGGGAGGACAAATAGTTTTTATGATCCACCCGGACGTATAAAATCCTCCTATTCACCTTTAAAAATCTGATCCCTTTGATATTGTGTCTTTTTTGTCCGTTGTGCGTTTTTGTCCCAAGTCCCACTCGCGAAGACCGACTCTACAATAGCCTTCTGAAAGTAACATTGCGTGAACAAAGAGCCCTGTTAGTCACTCTCTGACTCTCTGGGCTGCGAGCTAATTGGCTAAAAGTGCAGGGTGGTCCTCCTCACTTCTCTGTCTGAAAAACCTAATCTAAAGATGTGACAGAGACCAAAAATATGAATACTAGTGATAAAACCAAGAGTCAGGAACTAATTAGATGTATTTTGTATTGTACATTTTTTGTGGTTTAGAAGTTAGGTACCCCAGCTTTAACAATTTTTGACTGGATTAATATCTATCTGGGCTATTCTGCATGTGGACTGATAAGAAAAGCATCTTAAATCATGAAAATATAAACAATTTATTAAATGTGGAAAAATCAACCACACCGACGGGATCTTGACGCACCAGAGCAACCTGCAAGTTTATTATTAGTTTCTATCAGTTTCTTCAGACAGAACTTCTTCAGGAAAAGAACAATTAAATATGTAGTAATTTAACACATGCTTTATCCTGAGGAGCCTCAATTTGTTGTATAAGTGAATGCAAATGTTGTGAATGCTAAATTAGACGGCAGCAGATTTTTTGTTGAGGCCAATAATGTACTGACAAAGTTTCACAAAGACATCTGTTAGCTCAAGCTGTCCTCCTTTGCACCTGCTTTGTCTGGCCTTAAAGGGACGCTCCCCAATCCACACACCCACCGGGTTTTTTAAAGGGGTTTGATCTCTGTGCGTCATTTGAAAGGCTAATTTCTTTCTATTTTGCGGCTTTTCGGTGCACCCTTCCACTCCGCGTGTGACCCCCCTATGTATAATTGACCATCTCCGCAGGGTATATAGCATCTCCCATCCCAGCAGGCCACCCCCCGCTGGTTTGTGTCGGGGCCAAAAAGAGCTCGGAGTGTGAGGAAAGGGAGGTCCTGGAGCAGCAGGAGCCCACGGTTTGGCTTGTACAGGAAAGCAGGGGTCCACTGTTTTTTGGTGCATTCGTGTTTTCAGACGATGGGGATGTGTTGTACGCATGGTTTTAATCTAAAGTTTCATATTAGTTTGTTTCACATTAGTCCAGTTCTCAGGTCTCTGTACTTGCTTCCTGTGGCTCAGAGAATTTACAGAATTGTTTACAAGTCCCGCCATGGCCTCGCACCAAAGTACATCTGTGACATGTTTGTACCATGTGAACCAACTTGGACTCTGAGGAGCACAGGGACTGGCCTCCTGCTGGGACTCTGAGGAGCACAGGGACTGGCCTCCTGCTGGGACTCTGAGGAGCACAGGGACTGGCCTCCTGCTGGTGCCCAGAGTCAGAACTAAATATGGAGCAGTCTTCCTGACAATGTGAGACAGGTATTGACAGTTCGGTTTCACTGCTGCAACTGAAGGATTTTTTCTCCACTCTTTTGAATATACTGTGATTATTTATGATTTGAATTCCTTGTATGATTGTTTCTTGTTTTGTTCAGCACTTTGCCTTGTGAATGAACTGTACCATACAAATAAACCTGCCTTGTTTATAATGGGGTCTTTTGAGGTTGTCTGCTGTATTTGGATTTACTGTATATTGCCAGATTCTTACAGTTTATGTAAAATCTCAAGTATCTTCCAAGAAAACAAGGGATTATAGCAAAGGAGCCCAGAAAATTCAGGAATCTATTTGTCATTTGCAGTAAAACCACTTTGTAAAACTGAATTGAACGGAAAAAGCTTGATTGGAGACATCTCATACAAACTCTCCAGTACCACACATACTGTATAACCACTGTAAGTAAGTCATGTTTATTTATATAGCACATTTTACAGACCAAGGTCAACTAAAGCGCTTTACAATTATGGGAATAAAAGAGAGCTCTACAAGTGATCTGGGGTCACCTTAGGTCACAACGACCCAATTGTTTATCTGCTATGCTTGTGTGTCCGCTATGTTCTTTCGATGTCTTGTTATGTTCTGATTGTCTCTTGATGTGACACTTATTATTTTCCATGTGTGACGTAAACGTTGACTATGTAAACCATATCCTGATTATGTTCTGTCTGAAAAAACTGAAACAACTGAAACCTGAGAGAAACTGAATAAACTTGCAGGAGCTGTGGTGGGCCACGATCCCCTCTCTGTGTGGTTAATCTTCCACACAATGTTCAGAGTTCAGATATTGTTTCAATCTCTCCACACGGTGAGGACGGAAGCGAGACGCACTGGTGCATCAAAGCCTCTGAGCAAACCTATCGATCCACTCACTCGTTACATTCAGACCTATTGTGCATGTTTTTAGTGGTAGGGGAAACCGGAGCACCTGGAGGAAACCCACGCAGACACGGGATTCGAACCCCGGACCTTCTTGCTGAAAAGCGAGAGTGCAATCTACTATCGCTTTTAAACTTTATGTTTGAGTTTTTTCCTTAATAGTTCGATTGGTCAAAATATCATAATTCAAAAACATAACAAGGCAACAATTAGGAAAATATTACATATAATAATAAAAACAATTATTACAATGATTATAACAAATTAAGAAAAACGAAAAGAAAACATTAAAAAAATTGATATAGAGTAATAAAATATGTAATAGTACATAATAATGAACTAACTGTGTCCTGGTTTTAATATGTTTTAGTCTGAGAGTCCTTATTATTTTGACCCATGTTCAAAATCACTGATCTCTTCATTGTGGAATATCCCTGTAGCTGCAGAATGTTGAATGAGGACATAATTCTGTTCATGATTAAAAAATAATGATGATGGGAAAAAAAAACTCGTCAATTGTAACGTGATTCCAATCCAGTATCGGAAAACAACCTCATATGGGAGTTTCAGGACAAAAAAGGATCAATCCAAACGCAATGCTGAGAAAAACCAACGCTAATAAACTCTCTTCAATTAGCATAATGGTTGGTCACGGTGTGTGGGCTCGTACTTGTGCAAGAGCTGGACCTCCTCCTTGTTTCCACGGAAATATTGTTCTTTTAGGTGTAGTCTTCCACCGTATATTATTAAACTCCATGGAGATTGTTCCAGAAAAACTAAATTTCTATGTAATAATGAAGATGACTCGCTACCTTCGCCTGCTCTGCAAAAATTAAACTATCTGAGGAAATAAGTGCTTGAATCGACTGTTTTTTTTAATCTTAAATTGAGTACATTCTGACTGTCTTAAAACAAATGCCGATGGGACGAAGCCGCTTAGTCGTATTTCTAGAACTGTGGCTTCTTCTTTGTTAATTCCAAGAGATTTCTTGTATCTTAATAATTGTGCTTGTCCCATTGTTTGAAGTCAGTCCAAATGTGCCAAAATTAAGATACATGTGGAGAATGAACCTCACAGAGACGGGATCTTTACGCACCAGAGCCATCTGGAAGTTTATTCTCAGCTTCCTTCAGTTTTTTTCAGGTTTTTTCAGACAGAACAAAGTCAGGACATGGTTATTTTAGTCATTCGTTACGTCACAGATACGTCACATCATAGAAAGGCGTACGTGTCGCATCAAGAGACAATCTGAACATTTCAATCTGGAGAGACTCAAACAGGCAAAACATAGTATTAGAAGTGTATGTTGATTGGCAGATAATCTGTATGATTGGACAGATAATATTGTGCTGTCCAGAATGTGGTTAGGATTTGGCGCTTAGACCCCGGTAGAGCACTGCACTATTGCAGAAGGGGAAAGAGATTATGAGATGACCCTGATGGTGGTAGCTAAGAGAAGGATGAAGGAGCTGGCCTACAACAAGGCGGAGATGGGGAGGAGGAATGAAGCTGAATGAAGCTGCTGCTTGTATGGAGCTTCTGCGTGATATGAAGCTGATGCAGGCAGTGACTGATTGCTGCAGGTGAGGGTTTGCTGCACCGCTGAGTGTGATTGACTGATTGCTGTTGCTGTGGGCAACAGCTGGAGAACTGAGTGCTCAGAGCTGGGTTCTCAGGTCTTATACATTTATACATTTTATTTCTTAGGCGCCTTTCTTGACACTAAAGGTCGCCTTTCATACAAGTAAAAAAGTGCATTTTAAAAACAGTTAAAATACAAAGTTAAAGGCATGGACAGAGGAGAGTGTGGTTATGTTAGTGAGTAGGCTTGTCTAAACAGATGAGTTTTGAGGGTGGATTTGAAGAATGTGAGTGAGTCGGTGTTATATAGGTCAGGGGGGAGAGTGTTCCAGAGCTGGGAGCAGAGCGGCTGAAGGCTCTACTCCCCATGGTGACGAGGCGGGCAGGAGGGACCAGGAGCTGGAGAGAGGAGGAGGAGCGGAGGGAGCGGGCAGGTGTGGAGATCTGGAGGAGGTCAGTCAGGTATGGAGGAGCAAGGTTGTGGA